ATTCCAGCAGGGATAAAGAACGAGGTGGCAAACTGGGATCTGCCTGGAGTCTCTTAAGAGGAGGGCTGGCACCCAACAGGGGTTACATGTCCTGAGCTTGCCAGTCACTCATGTGCTTGTCGTGGGCATACAGAGATGGTGCTGACCCATGGATGCTGTGGGGCCCTCTGTGAGAAGAGACATCACCCAGCAGCAGCTCTGGGAAGGAGAGCTGGGCCTGGCTGCTCCTCCTTGAGTCAAACAGAGCAGCGGGAGGTTTCTCTTCCCCGTTTCTTGTGGGAAGTGCCATCCTGTGTTCCTCCCTTGGCACACAAACCCGTGTTACTGCTAGAAAACAAGCCAAAGTGGAGGAAGCCACTTACCCTCTTCCTTTGAGCCCTACCACATCTCTCTTCCTTATCTCCCAACTGGCGAATACAGATGTACCAAGAAAGTGTGGGCTTTATTCCCGACTATGCACCTCGCTGTCAGGGTGCCCTCGGGCATGTTTCATTATCGGCCATGACTCAGTTGATCAGCTGTAAAATGGGCAGCAAATGTGACCTTTGGGAGTCTAGTAAAGAAAAAGAGGGTGCTTCTGGAAAGACCCGAGCCTGTGGGTACAGAGGGGACACTGTTTTTCCCTTTGAGCAGCGGTTCCTGATGTCTAACTGGCACCAGCTCCAAAGCAGACTGAGGCCACATTCCTGAGGGATCAAATCCTGAAATGACTGTGGGCAAAGCCGGTGGTTGAAAGCTGAGCAAAACTTCTGGCCTTGACCAAAACGAAGTGTGGAGGGCTGGTTCCAGCCTTTTCATCTGAAATGCATTTTGCCATGTTCCAGTCTGAGGGGGAGAAGGGGTTCTGCAGGGCTTGTTATGGAAGGTGGGGATGGAGCAGCCGGGCAGCTCCTCGAGGTTTCTTCTTTCAGTGTTGTGGTTTTACTGACTCTTCTTTGGAGGTGACTGGTTTCATAAATACTTCTGCATCACCCTTTCCTCGTGGGAAAATGGAGCCTCAGCAAAACTGACTGTGCTCCCATGAAAATCTGGCCCTTCTCCATTGCAGACCTCCATGATACGGAGTCAGTTTGAGGACATGCAGAGCTGGTGGCACCTCCTAACCTCCACAACCGCTTGTATCCCTCTCTGTTCCCCTTCCCACTGCAGCCTGTTGGTGTGTTTGGGGCTTTTCCCAGTGTTAGCAGTGTAATCCTGTTTGGTTTAAATGCCTTGTTTGTTCGTGTGTTCTAACCTGGACCATATTGCTGGAAGGGGTCTTGGATGAGGTTGCTCCTTGTGCTGGCAGACCTGAAAAGGCCGTAGCCCCCAGCAGGGTTGAATTACTTCTAAATGTCCACATGGCTGTTGCTTCTCAGCCTGCTGGAGCAGCCCGATATCAACTCCCGGGCTCAAGGCTGGGGTTTTGTTTTGCTAGTTTGCTCTTTTTACACATTGCTGTATTTTTTGAGCTGTACTGAGACTGTGATGCACACATCTGCTGGACAGTGGGGAGGTGAGGTCGGAGCACTAGAGGTTAGGAGGAGAGATTGCTGGGCCAGGACATCTCTGCACCAAACAGCCACCGGCCTC